CCTCGCACATTACCGACTTAAAGTGACATGACGTTGATGATGTAATTTACTTGGGGAATGGCAATAATTTTTTTGATTTAAACATTTTCAAAATATGTTTTCGTAACATTTTTGGATCATCAAACATGCTCGACCCACATAAACTGGAAAGCAAAGATCTAGTTCTAAGTTTATAAGTCTTTGGATCATGACCTAGGATCAATGTGGTTGCGTATGCAATGCTATATGCTCCACATGATACAAAATCCATTTGTCCTGTTTTTGGTTCGACAAAAGTAATATTTTTCAAATTTGGATAACGCCTTTCTATAAAATCCGATTTTGCTGAAGTTATATTAATATCTTCGTCGTCATAGACATACACCATTTGATTTGCGGCTTCATAAAATATACAAACCGCATGAGCTGTCCATTGGTCTTGTTTGGCATATAAGATTTGAACGTCATTTTTGGTGGAATTATGAACGGGTATTAATTCGGGATAACTGAAGAAAAATGTGGAAACCATATCGAAATCAGTCGTAGCCTGGACCAATCTATTGAACAGCATGAGTGTACGTACGTCGAAGGGTTGATTTGGTGTCGTGATTTTTTGCAATATATCGGGATGGATATTATCGAAAGAGTCAGCAATATACTCTATATTCAGACGCGGAGATCTGTTTCGGAGAGAAAAAAGTCACTTGAAAAATATATGGAAGCCACATTTGAAATTTTTTTCAAAATTACCGCGGAAATGGCGACAGCCGTCTATTCTGTAACATTTCAAAAATATGTTCCCTTAAATGAATGGCTTTATCCTGATTTTCAACATTCATTTGAAAGCCATAATTTGCTGGTGTTTCGCCCAAGATCAATGTCGTTGCATATGCAATCACAAGTGGCCCCGACGACGTTTCGTCATATTGTTCGGTCTTCGGTGAAACAACAACTGTTCTATTAATAGCCGCTGGATAGCGATTTTTCACTATTAAATCATGTTGCTCGCTTATGATGTAGTTCATATTCTCAATTCTACTGTCATAAATGTACGCTGTTCTATAATCGGGATCATAATAGACGCAAATGTAATGACCTGATTGAATTGCATCACTGTATATGATTTGGATGTCGCGTTTCCAACTACGAATCGGTGGATAATTTACGGGAGAAGGATAGGAATTGACGTCAATCATATCGTAGCCATGGTTTTGACGAACCAGTTCTATGAAATAGTTGATTGTTTCGTTCGTAAATGGGGTGTTCGGTTTTTTAATCTCGCTCAGTATATCGCAATGAATAATATTCACCCAATATAGAAGAATACATCTGGTTTTTTAAAATAAAATTCGGTTATTCATTGTTGATTTTGAGGTACTTAATTCACTTACGATATGAATATCAAACAAGTTGATATGAATTTGGAATAGAATAATGCCATCGGTAAAAGAATATACAAAAAAAAAATATTTTCTTATAATTTAGCTTTTTTGAGAATGTATACTTGAACAAGTTCAAAATTCTAATGACTGGAGTCAACCAATCTATCAACTTTATATACAAATTATAATTGCCACAATATCTTATAAGTTTCATTGTTATTCAATGACGTCGGTAAAACAACTGTGCAAATTGCAAAATAATAATTTCTTCAAAAATTTAACACTTATTCTATGAACAGAGGCATTTATCTACAGTTTATTACTTTTCCGCACACATAGTGTAAGATGAAAAGTATTGTAATCGGTAAAATTTTGAAAACTTCAGAAACATGTTTTCTACTTATTATTGAGGTCAGAGAACACGAATTTGGCATTTTTAAACATGGTTTTTGTTAATCTGTACGTTGTATGTTGTACGCAAAATTTGTTAGCAAGATTGTGCTCATCGTAGAAACTTAATTCAAAATCTGACTTTACGGCAGTAGTGTGCGGAGGGGGGGGGGGGTGGAGGGGTGGTAGGAGGCTGTGATTTGGATGAGAATTTTTTTTCGCAAAATTTATTCGAAGTTGCTAGGGTTTTTCATTCAAAATTTGACGGGGTTGATTAAACGGGGAGTTATTCACTTCGATGCTCAAGTTTCGTAACTTATTGCATGACGACCCGACTTGTGCTGTCACTCGATTGCTTGGAGAATGCTTCCCACGGTGTGGCCCACTTTATAGTAGCCATGTAACTAGCCTCCGTACAGGGCCAGTGACCAGGGCTTTCTTCTCAAGTCAATTGTCGTGACAGTCACAAGTATTCCATTCATTCCTAGATGGCGTTGGGCTCTTCTTATTTCAATGGAGGAATGCACATATCGCTGGTTTACCGGTATATTCACCAGAAATGGCGCACTACCTTTTTACGGTTGACGTATTGGATATTTGATATATCCAAGACACCAACCTAACGTGAAGGCACTCCATTTTACGTGTGTCTATGCTGAGCCCATTATTCGTTGTGCACACACATGGGACCGACGGCTTTAAGTGCCCTCCGAAGCACTCCACTAGCCCAAAACCCGGCCAAATCTATTCCGCATTAAACCACTGATAATTCCTGAGCGAATCACGGTGGAAAAATACCGGACCAAATTTGACCGAGAATCGAACTCGTGTCCTCACGCTCACAAACCTGGCACGCTAACCACTAGTCTATGGCTGAGTTCATTCAAAAAGTGAAGTCCTGTTTTTTTAGCTCATCAATGTAGAAAATTGAGGAGAATTCTTTCAATTTGCTAGGGATTTTCGAAAAACTTGACTAGAAATTTGACTTCCAAAAAAAAACGAAAATTTGTCTGATTTGCTAGAGAATTTTTTGTTTTTGGAAAATCACCCCCCCCCCTGAAAAATTTTCCTTGCACACTACTGCTTTACGGGATGATTGGGCACTACGAGGAATAGATCTGGTCAAATTTTCAACGACATTGATTGATCGGTGAAAAACTTAGACTCTGAAGAGGCACTTATGAGAAAAATGCCTTGAAATGATATTCTATGATCTTGATTAAGCCTCTTCATTTTTTATCACAAAGTGCTGAAGTCGTATAAAAACATGTGTCGAAGTAATTCAGCTATGTTCTATACGTTTTCTGCGGTGGTACGAAAAATGCATAACAAAATTGGAAAACGCATTCCAAAA